CATCACACCCAATGAGTAAATTCTTCGAGACGACTTCTGAAGGGGTGTTGCTTGAAGTTCTTAGAGAGTAGGAGTAGGCTGGCATAGAGATTGTCCAAGTTTCTCAGTGATCACTTTGCCTCGCACACTTCTTGCAAGAAATGTATTTATTGGTAAACATATAATGGTTGAAACATCCAGCATTTCATTCGCTTCGGGGTGCGCCACGCGCATGACTTCCACTCAAATTCCTAACGGAACTTCTTAGCGCGTTTCGGCCTAGATAGTGATCTAGGCGTCAGACTTGTCCAAGATGAAGCATCTCAAAATTTTTGTCCCCACAGATGAGTCAAGGAAGAGTCTGATATCGAAAAATCTTCCCCTAAATGCTTGTTTTTGAGGGAATGAATCAGTAATTTGGCTCAAAACTATATGCGTTATAAGCAGCGCCACTAGCCAGTTGACCATTTTTATCTTTCTCTATATTTATATTGCCCAACGATATTCATGGCGTCAGGATGTATTGCGCAGAATACAGACCGTGCTTCAAGAAAAGCGATCAATGTAAGGTACTTTTTGCCGACAGTGAAGGCTGGTTTTGGTCCGCAGTTCGCCATGGAAACTGGTCACAAGAATGCTGAGTTACGAGCAAAACTCTTTGTCTCAGGCGGGACATGAACCGGCATCTTCGCGAAAACGAAGCAAAAGGGTTCGCCTAATAACTCAGTTTTCTTGTGATAGTATAAGTACTTTTGGATGCTAAATGAATCCAGTTTCAAGACCATTCAGTTACATTTAGACTGAACTATCCAGTGACGTTGACATCATGCTTTTTTATGAAGCCAGAATGTCCTACATCTATTAGTGCTTTTATTTCTTCTTAGGGCTTTCCTAATTGTAAAATGCACACAGTAGTTGTATAAATATTCCTGCAAGTTGATGAACTCCTTCATCTCTTTGGGCTTGCCTAATTGATACCATTATCGATATATAGTCAGAATGAATTTCGTGACAGACACACACACAGACATACTTTAAAAAATCCTCGGACTAAAAAATTGTTCGAAGAATTGTTTTCGTAATATGCATGGCATCAGAACCTCACATATGCTGCTCTGGGGGTTCGGATAAATGCCAGAAATGTGCAGTCTCATCACATTTAGATTCGATTCATGTTTTTGTACGTTTTCTTTTCAGCTTACTCAATGACCGGCAAATTTTCCAAATTCTCTGAATTTAGTCTGAATCTGAGAATGGGAGAAATTGAAATTCTGTATCAAACTTTATTATAGGCCTTCACCCCATAAATCTTTCTTGAGGCTTGTTTCTTTTAGTATTCAGGAACGGTACTAGGAAACTAATTATGCTAAAGACCGAGATATGGTAGTTTTCCATAACATCATACAATCTCATGGGGAAACGAATTCGATAGTCAAGAACTCACCATTTGCCAAGGGTACAGCAGGTAAGGCAAGAGCCTGTCGAAGCTTTTCTAAAATCATGTTGTGATTCGTATGTAGAAACTTAGTTAATTTTGGGAAATCATGATGCCTTCAGTTGATTTTTGTCCTTGCTCATCATGGAGGAGGATCCCACGATAAGGTGGGAGGTCGAGGAAGAGAAATACAACCAGTGGAAAGGCAGGCAGGCCCGCCAAGGGTGCGGGACGATGCGGGTCTGGCAGCGAGGGTAGCCTCCAGCGGTCTAACTAGGTCATACTCGTGCCGCTCACGTCATTGCCCGCCCACCTCCTCGCCCTCTGGCGTCGTCTCGTCCGTCTGCCAGCCGCTAAGCAGAGAGAGAGAGAGAGCGTTAGCGTTGATGAGATCAGCGCCGATGAGACACTCCAAACGCGCTAATCAGCGGGCAAATGGGGTGTCATTTCTCGAGTTTTAGACTGCTTTTCTGTTTTTTTCTTCATCTCTGCACAACTGACCACCTCTACCTTTATTTCTAGTAGGCTGTCTTCAGATCATGATTACGCATTTAACCAGGACGATGAGGTGTTGTGAACCTTTTTCTGAATCACTTTCCACTTACAAGGCAGGAAGTTTGCCTTGGAGGACACTAGGAACTCTACCATTCCCGTTGGCAAAGTTGCTCTCGTCATGCTTTTCGTTTGCAGATGTTTCTTTATTTTGACACATCGCTTGCTTCGTTGGCAATCTCATTACAGTGGGTCTTTGATCCGATGTTCCAGCTGTTGGCCCACTACTCCGTAGTTTAAGCACACGGGATAAAACCCCAGCGATTGATGATGCTTTTTCGGGTCGTGGGAGCAGGTCATATGATGTGCTTTCCGTGATTCAAATGTCTCTCGAATCAAAGGTGGTAGAAATAATCGCACCGAGCTTTTACCCTCACGGAACGAAAATTCTTTAACTGCTAAAATGAAAAGAGAAATAAAAAATAAATAGATAAGTGAGTAAAACCTTTCGATCATATGCGAGACTTTGGAGAGTTGGAAGAGTGCAAACGTCATTACAGTGTCTCTGACTTCAAAAGAATTTCGTTCAGACAAAGCAGATGGACCTAAGTTCTTAGCATCATATCTGCTTGTTTATGTGGGGCTTTTACGAACAGTATAACATTGTATGCTATTTCCTGTTGCCTATAAAAACCTGCCAAGAAGTACGCTCAGCAGATTTTTCTCACAACTCTTTATTAAGACTTTTCTTTTTGCCATCTTTCTGCTACTTTTCTTTTTTTAACGATTTGGCCTCTGACTCTCTCTGTTTTATTGAAAGTATTTATTCCGAACCAACATGTCCTCATTATCTTCCAATTTTTTAGTTAAAATTGGCGATCAATAATTCAATAACCATTAGAATGTTCACAAACCCCAGTCTCGCTTGTGTGGGTAAGCAGGGACAGAGTAGTATTCGATTCTGCGCGCAGTAAAAATCAATTTTCTGTTCCGAATAACGCCGCAAGTGTAACTGGATAGCAATGTGGAATCGCATCCGAATGAAGGGATTCCAATCGATTCCTCAAATAGAAAAATAATATTTATTACTTATAACGTAATACTCCATGAGACATCCGTATAGCACGCGCGTTAACAAAACAATGCATTATGAACAAAGAAATGAAATGAGAGAAAAAAAAAACGAAAAGAAGTAAAAGGGATGGCCCAAAGCCACATGACCAGAAGCACATTCAGGCAACAAGTAGCACGCGACCAGAGAATCAATCGTCTGGTCTCGATGAAATTGCGATGGTTAATCTATCAATCAATACTCAGTCAGATCAATATTTTCTGGCCGTCATGATATTATTACAATGAAGCCGTTAAAAGAACACAAACAATAAAAATCAATGCTAAGGCACAATAATATCAAGCACACTTCTGTACACACAAGGCACATTGTGAATAATAGCTATGGTACATAGTACTCCTAAAGAATTTGTTTAGAGGCTGTGGTCGCACGGAAAAAAAGGGGGGGGGGGGCCTTGTGGGCGGAGACTCCAAAATCGCGCACCAATGAGAAGAGTGGGCGGAGTTTGCGGGACCGCCTCTTCAATGGCTTCAACAAGGCGCGGAAACTCTAAAGTCCCGTTTCAGCGCGCTCAGCACGACCACTACCTCAAAGCTTCGGAAAATCTTTTACATAAATTTCAGTGACTACTAGAAAACGCGTGGAAAAATCTCAAAGAGAAGGAGCAACAAAAAGCCGTCGTAGGGACCGTAAGGCAGTTAGCGAAGATAGGAATTCTCGAATATTATTAAGTATATAATAATTAAAGCCTCCGTCCAGAGCAGATCTCTATACCTAAGAAAGAAAATGCCAATAATAATTATAACAACACCACATGCATTACTTACTTATAAATACCATATAATTATACTTGTATTATGGCTGATATCTTTGGATAAAATCATATTATTATACCAGGCAACAATGAGACTCGTCGTGATACTTCTTGACGTTCTAAGATCAAGCATGCGTTTTGGAGCTACTATTTTTGGCATAAGGAGTAACTGATCGATCTATCGATTGTTATCGATCGAGTTATTCCGACGAGCAGATACTGTTTTGCAGCTGAGCGAAGATATTCTTTGTATGTGCGATGAAAACGTTATCCGGTGAGCACTGATTCAGTAATTGACCAGTCGTTGTAACAACCTGGAAAATAAACATGAGAGTTGAATAAAAATTCTGGGTGAAAAATGTGAATTTGTGAAGACCTTTTTGTTCCAGAATGTTTCCTTTTTTCATGCCTAATCTGCATAACGAGCAGGGATGGCAAAAAGCAAAGTGGTGCCGCTACTGCGCACATTCGAAGGTCCATGCAGCTGTGGTAACGCATGCACCAGCCAACATCGGCTCACAGGGGCCGTAAGGTATGCTTCCCCGAAGGGTTAGGGGACGAAAGTTCCTTTAAATTTTCTCTGTAGTCCCAACTGGGATTGTCCTGATAAGGGGCCTACATCTAATATATGTGTGTAGCTTAAAGTAAGCATGCATTGAAAATAAAGAAACAGTATCGTCCAAAACACGTTCTAAAAATAATTGGCGCAACCCATTTCGGAAGCAATACCTTACGGCCAAAAAAGCTCAACCGGCGCGCGACCGAAATCGCGTGTTGTGACAGTCAATTTTGCCGTTAGTGGCATGGCGGAAGAGAGAGCGGGACCGACTGTTACGGGCTAATACTAGCAATGGATGTCAAATCTCTGATTTAACTGCGTGCAGTAAAGTGCTTAGATTTGAGTAGCAATCGAAGTCGAAAGACGGCTTCATAGAAAAGTCATCTTGCTGCTTTATTGATGTGCAATTTATAAGGGCCTAAACTGAGCGTATTGACCTCCTTTCATCTCATTATGGATCGTGTTATTGCAATTGGAACATTACACATTCGAAAAATTCTTCTTCTCTTCCACGAGAATGACATCTATGTGAAACAGAATAATTTCACTCCCCGCATAATTGATTGCATACGGTAACTACAGTGCGCGCACACCCCGTTTCCCTTGTTTCAAGCTAAGTGCCAGTGGCACTGACCTCGTCTCTTGCACTCGCCTTGGCTGCCGCTGACGGATCACCAGCAACGCGCTCATCCGCAATCCGCATGCGCCGGTGAGCTTTTCTCTCCTTCCAACGCAAACCTCCCCTTAGAGAGCGTTCAGTGATGGCCTGAGCTCGATCAAAACACTCAAATGCGCATCAACGAGTCACCTTCTCTTCTCGAAGCATAGTGTACCATCCTTTTTCGGTCAGAAAACACATCTATTGTAACAACCTGACTTTATCATTCAGGCAGCAGGCCTAACTAATGGCCATGCCCAAACTAAAACACTAGGTTTGAGCCTCTCCTGTATAGACCAATGTTATGGTATACAGCTCATATCGTGAGCTTCATTCATAGCGAGTCAAATCGGCATTGCCTGCGCTAAAGCACCAGCGCCTTAGCAAAAGTCAAAACCTTTCGAACGGAAGTAGGACGCGTGGCGCGTCCCAAAAAATGATCATAATGGAGATTGGGCCCCACGCAGACCCAGTGAAAGTTTTAAGCCCGAGAAAAGACAGCGAGACAAACTACCCAATCCGCCTCATCCCTTTCTCTTGACTCATGCATTACGGTGCCCTTTGGCTAACAGCGCGCTTCGAGCTCTGTGGAGCGAACGGCGTGCAGTCGACAGGATGTGATCAGAACTTCGACGATAGTTCACCGGCCTGACTCGATGGTGGAGAGTGCATGGATTCGTTGTGTGGAGATGCCGTCACTTCTTCGGTATTGCTCGGTGATGTCTCAGCGAAAGCCGTCGAAGATGTTTCTTGAGGACTGAAAAATTTCACATAAAAGTACGTGTGGTTTTGGATTAGGCGTGAAGTACGGCTTACCTCGAAGAGCAGGAGGAGTTAGTTGCAGTCGATAGAATGTTGACATGAACTTCTTCGGGATCTGTCTTGATGGGGTTTACGGGTGCTAATACCGGAAGTTTCGCCTATAATTTGATGATAATGGTCTAATTGCTCTGATATTGCTGAGCGAACCCATAAAGCAGTGATTCATACCTCGTCGGCGACAGCAGCCACGTTGTTGTTCTGAATATGGCACACGTACATGTGAACGGCGAACGCCGGCTGGTTCGGGAATGCACGACTGCAGAGTGCGCAGAAACAGTGACGGCATCAATTGCGCTGTCGGGGCCGGTGGCGGTGGTGGCGGTGGAGCGGCTGGCTGCGGTGGCAGCTGAGCTGCTTGATGCCGAGCGAATAGCGCAGCGAGCGCTCGCTGCTGTTGCTGAGCAATCAACGACTGCGCCATCTGGAAAGCGTAGAAAGAGATTTATGTTATTCACGAACGAGCGAACCGTGAATATTTACCTTAGCAACGTTTTCTTGATTAAAGTTGAGCAACGGTTGGGAAATCAGTGGAAACACTGGAGACGGCTGCTCGATTTTCATCGGAGGTGTGGCGGCGCCGGAGGTGCTAAAGAAGTTAATTTGATTAGTCGGTAATACGAATCGAAAAGTTCTCTTGGGATGATTAGGATACATTGGAGGTCACTTAACTTGGTACAAGAAGGAAAGTTAAAAGCACTAGTGAAAAGCGCGGTAGGGCAAGGTTAACGTGAGGAGGGTCCACTAGGTAGAGGTGGCCGTTGAGGCAGGGATGGAGAAAAACCGATGAGAAACGGCTCAGAACCCGAGAAATGGAACCCCTTCTTTGCCCGATGATTAGCACGTTAGGTGGTCTCATCGGTGCAGGCCTCATCAATGCTAACGCTCTTCTCTGCTTGAGCGGCCGGAGTCAGATGGTGAGGGGGTGGGCGGGCAGCGGCGCGAGCGGCATGGCCTTGCTAGGCCGCCGGGACATACCCTTCGCCCGAAACCTGCATGGTCCCACACCCTTCAGGAGCCCGCCTGCCTTTCCACTAATATAGTTCCGCTTCTTCGACTTCCGACCTTATCGTGAAAATCTCCTATAAAGGATACTAGGCTTCACACTTAGTTCATTGTATTACAAGCTCCTTCACGCTAAAGTCACGGTCCTAATTTCTGTCCATTCCAGCGCTCTCCACTGCTTGGATTGTTTCGATTGAGGGCTTGTGTGGGCACTTTCTTGACAATTCACCACCTCAGTCATTTCAGAATAGGGGGCAGATTTGTAAGAAAAAGCTAGGGACGGTTTGTTTCCTTATGACGGGTTTACGTGTAGTTAGCTGTTCTCAATAACTTTCGCCATCCACACGGGAACTCATTCGATTCTTGGGAAATCGGGACGTTTCTTTAACGGGGGGAGATGGCGTGCGTTCGTTTCTGACGACTTCCCAGGTAGCTGCAACGTAAGGAAAACGATTTGGCAATGTAACCCTAAGCCCATTCCCCCGTCTTTTCGCTTGGCGCTCATTTCTGGAGGTAGGTCTGCCACATGGGATTGCACTCTCTGCTGACGGCAACTATAAATTGTCGTCATTTTTTATGACACTCTGGCGCGTAAAAAGCGCACAACTGTGGCATGTGCTAAGCCACAGACGAGGCTTAAAAAGTGCAGAATTCAATTGTAACGTTGCAGCAAGTGAAAGCCGATGAGAAACGAACTTTTCGTTTTACATTTGAGAGCATGTTCATCAAGTGATTGTTGCCGCGTGAATGAACGCCCACACTGTCGGCACGAATAACCGCGCGTTCGGCATGGATCTTCATGTGCCGATTGAGATCAAACTGAAATATAATCTCATCTTTCAATATTGAAATGAGCTACTTCAAGAGAACGGCGTCGTATTTATCTACACTTCGAGGTCATCATATGGCTTTTAGCCTGTGCGCGGAACTGGTCTGTGTTTCGGGTAATATTCTTAATAAATTAATCACTAGGTTCCAATGCAGAGGAAGCATATTCCTAAGGGTGAGTTGCTCAAAATGGTCTTCATTCAATTCAACTGGAAAGTCAAGGTACGAAAAATGTGACCTGAAAATCCTAGGAGCCCAGCTTCCTCCGATGGCAATCAAAGGCTATATTGTGAGTTCATGTTCTTAAAGTGTCGGCCGGCCGCGGAAGATTGAAACGATGAGCAGAGGATAGGGAGAAGGCCAAAGAAGATGTAAATCCTATTGTAGCACTGTGTTCTCATTTGATTAATGAATCCCAAGAAGCCATAAGTGAGAAGATCTCTGAATATGGACCTTAATAGGCGTCCACAAATTCAATTTAATCTTGGTGTTTCATAGGCTCCAGACGAAATGGTCTATATGAAGAGTGCAAACGCGATGATATAATGAAAACTCATCTGACGGTAACTACCCTACGAGGGACGGAATTGTGATAAGATCCTATAGTACTGTATTGGTTGATCGTAAGCTACAGTATCACTGCGTAATACACAACCTCTATCTCTATCCCAAAACAATCAACGGAGAAACACCAAGGTGAATCGCAGTGACCGTCAGCTTGATTATGGCGTCCTCAAGCTTTCTACCCTCCCTTTCAAACGAGAAGAGCGTCGGGTGCAGACCATACACCACAAGTGACGACGGCCTCCAAGTAAATCTGGTTAGTAGTGGTTCATAGTGATAGCTGATTTTTGGTTGATAGTTGTAATTAGTGACAACTGATAGAATACAACTGCAACAGGCTAATCATTTCATTGGCAGAAAACATTTACATTTTGTGAAGGCCGTCGTCACTTGTGGTGTATGGTCTGCACCCGACACTCTTCTCGTTTTTTGGAGGGAGCACACCAACAAAAGCCGGTCGAGAATCATGTACGTTGGAGCTTTTTTCGGTAAGAGAAACTATCTATTTATTCATAAGCTCACCTTGAAAATAAACGTCTTTTGACAGAGGTTGCATTGATGCGGACGACCTCCCGAATGGATCATGAGATGCTGAGTGAGGTGACCTTTCTGAAATACGGCTTTTCTTAACGGAGACTTCTCAGAATGACCATCCTTACAGCAATTGGATTGTTTCATTGTCCATAACGGCAGAAAGATTTAGGGTTTGGACGGCGAGTTCAGTTCTGCCCT